TTTTTTGAGACAGAGTCTTACTTTGTAGTTGGGACTGACCTGGAACTCACTATGTAGCCCAGGCTGGTCTCGAACTCACAGTGATACTCCTGCCTCAGCCTCCCCAAGTGCTGGGATTACAGGCATGCACCAACACACCCAGCTGGTTTTGATTTTTGAAACAGGGTCTCACTATGCATTTCAGGTTGGCCTTGAATTCACTGTGTAGCCCAGGGTGGCCTTGACTCTGCAATCCTCCTGCCTGTCTCCTAAATGCTGAGATTACAGGCATGTGCCACCACGCCTGGCTTCTACCTGGTTCTTTCCTGGATCTGTCTTGTCCTTTCAAGTATGCTTTGTTCTGATGAAATTTTTCTTTGAACATATTTTTCAAGGTATTGTCTATTTTTAGTATTATTAGTTACTACTGTTCCCTTTTATCTTTCACTGAATACTGTATATATTAAAAATTTGAATCACTATAATCTGATTTCTGAGCTAAGGTTCACTAGCCTTCTAGATGACTCAAGTTGGCCTAAAACCTAAGCAAAGGCTATTTTTCTTCAGTCATTCTTAATCCTTTGGTGCTGCTCTTGGAGTCACAATCTAGAGCACAGGGTTTTCAAGGTCTTTAACCTCCCAGGCCTTGAATTTTAAATTTTGTTCCTAAGGCCTGCTTTGCAGTGGGGCAAACACTCCCCCGCAAAAAAGCAGTCTCAACTGCTCAGTCATCTTTACAGGTTTCTATGTGCTGCCAACTCATTGCTACTTTGTTCCTTAGATAATTTCTAAATGTTTTTCTAGCTGTCGGTTTAATCCAAAATACCTAGACTGGCACTGGCAAAAGTGGAAGCTCCACACTACCGCAACACTTTTTAGCACAATGTCTTTGTCTCTCCAAGTTAGCTCAGTTGGTAATTTCCTTTCACGTCTTTGTATTTCACTCTGTCTTTTAGTATTTCACTTTCTGAATCATTTTCTTCTGGATTTTTCCCCTGAATACATCATAGTGATTTATTCCCACTTATTGTAATACTGTACTAGAGAACCACTACCATAAAACAGAAAAAAGCAGTTAAGACCAAGTATTTCCATCATACTTACTGTAAATTCTTCTTCTTCTTCATCACCAGATTCTCCAAATATGTCTGCAATAAGATTTCTAAAAAAGAAACACATTATAAAAGCATTAATCTGCTTTCTCCCCATTTGCATAGAAATCCTTTTAAAATAGGGTACAATTTATACATAGAAAAATGTGTGTATCTTAAGTGTCCCATTCAATGGGCATTAAGAATGTATACATTCGTGTAAGCAGCACCCCTACCAAGATGCACAATAACCCCATCTCCCCAGAAAGTTTCCCATCCACCCTTCTAGTCAGACCCTCAACACCAACACCCTGGAAGCCATCAGTACTCTGATTCCCATCATCACAGATTAGTTTTGCCCGCTCTTAAACTTTACATGAAAAGAATATGTCTCTGCGCTGTCTGCTTCCTTCATTTACTCTATTATTTTGGGGTCCATCTATGTTAGACACAGTATGTGTACAGGTAGTTCAGGAACTAAGACCCTAATTTCCAAAGTCATAAAATTAGGCAGTATCTTGTCATGAAATCTTAACACACGTTTAAAATTTCTGCAAGACAAACACTCCATCATACCAATAACTAGAAAAGTCACATGATATTGTCACTTACTCTTCTTCATTGCCCGACTCACTATCACTTCCAAACAGATCCTTCTCTTCGTTCTTTTTATCAGACAATTCTTTGCCTGCTTCTTCTTCGCTGTCTGACACTACAGTCTTCTCTCTTTTGCTTGACTTGTCTGATACCACATCACTATCAGAGTCATCGGCATCAGAGACAACACGACTCTTTTTTGCTGCTTTTAAGGAAAAAAAAATCATCATTAATCTTACTTTGCCAAATCATTCTACTAAACATAATGAAGCAGGGTGTGGCGGCGTGTGCCTATAATCCTAGTGCTCAGGAGGCTGAGGCAGGATTGTCACGAGGCCACCCTGGACTACACAATGAGTTCAAGATCAGCCTGAAATACACAGACAGGAGACCCTATCTCACATAAATAAATAATAAACATAATGGGTACTCTCAGATGTCCCTGTGATACACACAAAAGAAACAAAAAACAAAGGGTCCAACACATGGTTAAAAACTGAAAATAAACAAATAAAAAGGAATTAGCAGTGAGTGTAGCTCAGTGATACAGTGCTTGCCTAGTATGCCCAAGGCCCTGCATTCAACCCTCAGTACTGCAAAAACAAAAACAAAACTTCCCAGCTGGGTGTGGTGGTGAACGCCTACATAGTGAGTTCCAGGTCAGTCTCAACAAACAAAAAACAAAACTTCCCAAATAACACACATTCAGAGTCATCTTAGAAACTGTGGGTTTGTTTTTTTTGTTGTTGTTTTTTTGAGACAGGGTCTCACTATGTAGATGAGACTGAACTAGAACTCACTATGTAGCCCAGGTTGGTCTCAAACTCACAGTGATCTTCCTGCTGGCCTCCCAAGAGCTGGGGTTACAGGCATGTGCTGACACACCCAGCAAAACTGTGTTATTTTGCTTAGTTAAAAAGTGGTCAAAAGATGAGGAAAGAAATCATAAAGTTGCCATCAATAATCATCTTTCCTTTTAAGGTCAGCAATTAAGGATAGCAACTGGCACCCTTTTCACAATGACTAGTATTACAAATAATGAGGCAAAATGATCACAAATTGGACACCAGCCTGGGCTACATAGTGAGTTCATGGCTAGCCTTAACCACATAGTAAGACTCCAACTAAAAAAACAAACAAACAAACAAACCAAAGAGGGGAAAAAGGCTGGCTATTCCTTTCTAGGACTATTCATGTTTCTTAATTACTGCTTGTCAGTTGGACATTTCTCTTTTTGGGTGGGGGGCATTGGGGATCGAACTCGGGTCTTTGCACTTGCAAGGCAGGCGGCAGCACCACTGAGCTACATCCCCAGCCCTGACATTTCTCATCTTTCTGGATAAACTGACAGTATTTGTGATACTCTTTTAACGTTCTCCTACCAAGTTATTATGGAATGTTTTTTTCCAAAGAAGTTGCTTCCCAAGAAAATAATCAAGCAAAATTACTACCTGTGAAAACGGGGTCCCAGGTAGCCAAGACTGGAATACTCTGCAGAGACACGGAGCCTGTAAATACAAACCTCCCAAACCTCCCTGTATTTGGGTACTCAATGGTATTTAACAAACAGAAAGAAATACCTTCGTAGGCTCAGTTACTATCTGGTGGGAACCTACTGAACCAGCATTACGGAGACCCTCAGCCAACTCGACAGTTGGATTTTCATGTAAACCCACTTCTCTGGAACATTCCCCTTTCAGGTAAAGACAATCTAAGTCCTACACTCTTAGTCTAGCTTATCATTCTGAACAGCCAAAAGGTAACAGACATTGCCAGAACAAGTCAAAGGATGTTTAATAATAAGCTCAGCCAATGAGAACCAGGAATAGAGAATCAAGATGAAGAATATGAATTTAAGGTAACTGAAAAGGACACAGTTAAAAGCTTGGGCGATAAGGAAAGCTACCCAAATAACCCTTACAGGATCTTTCTTCATCTTCACTATCAGAAAGCACAGCGGCTTTCCGCTTTGCTACTCTTTCTTCCTCGCCTTCTTTTTCTTCATCTTCATCACTGTCTATTTTCTGCCTTTTGGGTACTTCGTCCTCGCTGTCAGAACTGTGGAACTTGTTTTTGGCTGTATGGATATCTGAGTAGGAGTCATTCTGAAGCTCTGGATCTGCTCCCTTATTCTCTCCGTCACTGTCCTCATCTGACTGTGGCTTCTGTCTGAGGGTGGCAGTGTCCTCAGCCTCAGAGTCACTAGCAGGTCCCTTCTGAGGCTCCTCATTCTCAGAGTCGCTGACTTGGGGTTTGGGGAGCTCCTCATTTTCCGAGTCACTGGCCTGGTGCCTTGGGGGGTCCTCACTTTCCGAGTCACTAATTTGGGACTTGGGGAGCTCCTCATTCTCCGAGTCACTGGCCTGGTGCCTTGGGGGGTCTTCACTTTCAGAGTCACTAACTCGGGGCTTAGGGAGCTCCTCATTTTCTGAGTCACTGGCCTGGTGCCTTGGAGGGTCCTCACTTTCTGAGTCACTGATCCGGGGTTTGGGAAGCTCCTCATTTTCTGAGTCGCTGGCCTGGTGCCTTGGAGGGTCCTCACTTTCTGAATCACTCATTTGTGGCTTGGGGGCCTCCTCATTTTCCGAGTCGCTGGCCTGGTGCTGTGGGGGCTCCTCACTCTCAGAGTCAGTGCCTTGAGGTTTTAAAGCCTCAGCCTCAGAGCCACTGGTGGGACTCTTCTGGAGCTCTTCCATCTCCGAGTCACTGGCAGGATGCTTCTGAACCTCTTCGTTTTCAGAGTCGCTTGCATGCCCGTTAAGCAGCTCATGTTCAGAGTCACTCCCAGGTAATTTCTGGGTCTCCTCACTCTCTGAGTCACTCCGGTGCTGATTGGCATCTTCATTGTCAGAATCACTCACAGGAGGCTCTGCGCGCTCCTCAGAGTCAGAATCACTGTCCTTGGGCCTGTGAAGCTCCTCACTTTCAGAGTCACTAGCATTAAGATTTGAGGGCTCGTCATTCTCAGAGTCTGTCATGTGATGTCTCTTAGTGAGGCCATCTTCTGGATCACTACGTTCATTCTGAAAAACAAACAAGAACGCTTTAGCACCATGTAAAACAAATTTGATAAATGTTAAATTTTTCAACAATTCTTTAAGTGTAAGAACATATACACTTAAATGTGTATTTATCCCATACCTACCGAGAAACATCCCACTCTTTAGAGGCCAATCTGTGAAATGGCTTACCATAGTGTGGACCTCCAAAGGAGGAAAAATAACAAACTAATCTGTACTGCATGAGGTTAATTCTGAAGAGACAGATTTAAAAAAAAAAAAGAAAGAAAGAAATTCTAACTTCCTCATATAAAAACCTATTGCTCCCAAAAACCTATTTTTCAGATTAGTGTAATAAAGTTCTTTTACATATAAGCATTCTTGGGTTTTATTTTAGGGAAAAAGATCATAAAACTTAACTGTATTTAAGGGTCAAATAACATATTCTCCTATGAGAATCTAAACAAAGAAAGGAGTTACCATTTTCTAAGCATTTATTAAGAGCATGTAGTATTTTGTGCTCTCTCATGTTCATTTTTCCCTCACAACATTTCTTCTCATGTAAGACAATAGGCTTTGCATAATCACAGTTATACACTTGCTACCTGTGGAACAAAAGCTTTGTTTTAGGAAGAACGTGATTAATCTAAACTAACACATAATGTAACCTGAAATAACTACTTTGAAAACATTCTCTCCAGAGTACAAACTTAACATGCACGTGCTATGTAAAAATACAGGGGCCAAGGATTTAGCTCAGTGGTGCCGCTGCCTGCCTCCCTAGTGCAAGGTCCCGAGTTCGATCTCAGGTACCAAACAAACAAACAGAAAAGCCGGGTGTGATGGCGCATGCCTGTAATCCCAGCACCCTGGAGGCTGAGGTAGAAGAGTTTAAGGCCAGTCTGGGCTACATAGTGAGTTCAGGGTCAACCTGAACTACAAATGGAGATACTACCTCAAAAAAACTAGAAAAGATATACAAAATTAAACACACCAAAATACCAGTAACAAGTATTTTAGGATTTAGAAAATCTCTAGAATCTCTACTAGAAACACAAAGTATTTCTGTGTTTGAAGGTCCTTCTTAAAAATCTACTGAGCCAAATATTTCTTGAGAATATATGACTGAGGCTACATGGACTTAGCATAGATTAATTTTCAAGAATCAGAGTCTCTAATAACACATGTGCCCACCATCATACTATGTAGTTAAGTGATGATAGAACTAAATGACAAGAAAAATGGCATGAAGCTATTATCACAAAACTGATTCTTCAACTTCCTTGGGCTCATTTAAAGACTAAATATGCTGTGTTTACAACTTTAAAGACCATATAAGCAAGCCTACAAAGCAAAGTTTATTTTTAATATTTTATTTCCATGACAACACAGCATGCCAAAGAAGAGCTGCTACATAAATTAACTGAAATATGAACTCATCAAAATCATAAATATTTCAAAATTCCCAAGGGCATTTTCTTGAGTTCTCACACTAGGCACTCAGGACGGTACTACGCTCCCTGCCACATACCTACTCTCCCAGCGAAAATGGTATTTACCTATTAAATGTGACATTAGCATAGGATGAAGAACACAGAATCTTGCCAGTGCAGTACAATAATCCATACACTCCTTAAGGTTTACTCTAGCCATACTTCCTAACTTAAAAGAATGTAGACAAAAAATTTATCTAGATAGAATGTAAGCTCTAGGAACACAGGTAGTAATGGGTGTATTTTCTTCACTGAGGCATCCTAGAGCACAGAACGGTTTTGAGCCACACACATTCACAAAAAAGTACTTACTGAATGGATAATAAAAGAGTAAGTAGAAATACACAAAGTGAGGAATAATTAATTCAGAAGCATGTTTAATGCTACGGTGGGCAAGGCACTAACAATTAAGGCTGAGTATGTTTCTCAGTGCCTGACCCTGATGACCTATCGTCCATGAGAAACCAGCCAAACACCATAAACCCACTGAAACAGAGGTATAATATGTACTATTATGAAAGTATGCGTATAGCATTTTTGAAAACCTATAGGAAATGAACGGATTTATGAAACTGAGTTGTAAAAGTTGTGAAGGCAACAGGTATTTCTCCACTTAGTTTGTGATGACTGCATAGTTAATTAGGATGGAGGATACAGGAACCAAAAGAAGGCAAAATGCAAAGTGCAAACTGGCCTTTAGAAAGATTATCATGGCATATACATCACAGAACTCGTTTATGTGCGAGTCAATTCATTTTAGGTGCAAACGGTAATGATCTTGGTTAGGTCTAGAAACAAGAACAATCTTCAGAACCAAAGTGAGATGAATGACTAAGAGAAAGTAAGAATCTGGGCGGCTCAGACAACTTAGAAAAGGGAACACCAGATCTTTTCACTTAGAATACCATCAATAACACGACTCAGCTATTTCATTGTCTAAAATCTAACTTTTATTTTATTTTTTTGGTACTGGGGATCAAACTCAGGTCCTTGTGCTTGCAAGGAAAGCGGCAGAACCACTGAGCTAAATACCCGGCCCTAAAAATCTTTTAAATTTCTAGGAGAGATGATCTAATTGGCCAAGGCAGTATCAGACTTAACCAGTTATGGCCAAAGTAGAAGCCCACACTGGGAGCCACTCCCAAAAGCACAGAGATACACACTATCACTGGGCAAGGGCCCTAAAACTTAACTACAACCCTCTATCCTGAATTCCCTGACACATAATGTATGCACTGCAAAACAAACAGTGCAAGGACATTACATATAAAAACAACCCTAAACTTACGGATTTCCATCAACTTTAAAGGAGTTTCACAAGAGCCTGGGTATCATGTGGCATGATAGGGAGAAATCACTAAGGTAAGAAAGTGCTAGTCAACAGACTCAAGCTTGAGGATAAATAGCCAATGACAAAGAATTTGTGAAAAGTATATTAGAAATTATACAGTTAATTCCAAGTTATCATAATATTCAAATGTCTCAGGCCAGTTTTGGCAATTAAGTTATAAATTTGGAATGCAAGTTTTTAGAAGTCAAATATAAGCACAACATACAGTAGAAAGTACAACTGAAATGGCATTTTTTTAATAATGCAAGAAACACTGGTTGGCACTGTCAGAAAAACTGAGCATACTGAGGCTTTAGAAATGTCTACAATGTCTCACACGTCCCTGTTAATAATACTTTACACTGCAGTTGTAAAGAACTACTGGTTACCCATTGTCGAGAGAAATCTTTTTAAATTTAGCACACAACTCTTTTACAGACCAAGGCCACAAATACACACAAAGAAACAACTGACATTCTAGGACCTTGCACTTGCCAGGCAGGCGGCAGAACCACTGAGCCAAATACTGGGCCCGACATTCTTTTCTTTTTTTTTCTCCACAGTTCAAGGGATCGAACTCAGGACCTTGTACTTGTGAAGCAAGCCACAATGCCACTGAACTAAACCCCCAGCCTTCTAACTGACATTCTTAAACTGAAAAGCAAATACTAAAACTGTGGTAAGCGTTAATTTGTATGTTTCAAAGAAGTACATCATCAAATCTAAAAACTGCCAAAGAAGGTACTTGTTTTCCTTCACCCATCAGAAATGTCAAACTCAAAACAACTGCAGGGAGTGGTACACACACCTGTAGTCCTAGCACTCGGGAGGCTGAGGCAGGAGGATCACCATGAGTTTGAGGCTAGCCTGAGCTACATAGTAAGTTCCAGAGCAGTCTGAACTACATAGTGAGACCCTGTCTCAAAACAACAAGTGAAATTGTACACTACCTTACCATTGGCTAAATCAGTAAAACAGTGAACAGTTAAGTTACACAGTAAATTCCATGAGGAAATGACTATCGGACAATTACGAAACAAACATGCTTCACCTGACCCTACATCCAGAGCCTCTTAACTGAAATCCTCCTACTGGAATCTGTCAATAAAGTCAGTTTAATCGGCACAGGAAAGAAGCTGCGAGGTGCTGAGGATCTATCTCAGTGATACTGCACTTGCCTAGCATGTGTGTCTCGCAGGTTGGCAGTAACAGAGAATAAATAAATACAAGTTTAAAAAAGGAAGAATCTGAGAAAACCAATAACAAATAAAATGATGTTAACCCTCTGCAGTTCTTGGGCAGCTGCTCAAAAGAAACTCCATTTTTATAAGCACACACATAAAATGAAGCTGCACAGTACAGTGCAAAACACTCCTGATGACTACTAGGAAGAAAGGTTCTACGTAATGAATGCTTAAGATTTTATGAAAAGTCAAATCTTGCCTACCTCTCCAGACTCATTTCTGCCAGCTCAGCAACATTAATATAAGATTCATCCAAAGTTCCCAAACTTTAGCCAGCACAGGAATCTCTTGAGGAGCTTTGGTGAAAGCTTCTCACCTCCAGATATCAATTCATTAGATCTGGGGAATGAGTCAAAGAATTTTCATTTTGACAAGAGATCTACGTGACTGACCACATTTAAAACCCTATTCCAGCGATCTGGAAGTACTGATTCAGTCAGCCCATGCATTTACAAACGTGGTTTTGTTTGCCTAGATGCTCTCATCTTCACCTTATCCTTTTCATAACTTTAAACCTGGCAAAAATATTCCTCTCCTGAAGCCTCTTTCATCTTTCTAGATGCAAGAGAATGTGACAGTTAAGAACACAGACTTTTAGAGTCAGAAAGGCCTGGGGTGCAAACCCAAGCTCTGCCACTTTCTACTGCGTGGTGGCTGGAAATTTTCCCAATTCCTCAAACCTCCAAGGTCTCAATGTGATGAAGTTAGGACTAGTGTTTACACCTTAGGGAGCTACTCTGAAAATTAAGTGCTTGCAAGACAGTTAATAACAAACTCTTATTAATTACTAGGTGCAGAACATTCACTCTTCAAGACTCAGCTCATCCTCTGTGAAGGCTAAGCAAATTAGTAACCCTCCTTCATATTTTCATGGGATCTTCTGCTTCTTCTTGACTGGAGACTGCCTGTTCACACATTTACCATCAGCATATACTGACCTTTGAGATCAAAAAGCTT